CACAATGACCCAGTGGATGGACCATAATAGCTATTTCATTGCTATCATGGAATATAATGAAAAATCGTAATGATATCCCTGGGGGCAGATATGAAATTGGAATGAAATATTGAGATACTCAATGAAAAATCCCAATGAAAGCTGTGGAATATTCAATGAAAGTGCACATCATTAATTATGAAAGAAGCAATGAATACATATAACCTAGCTAATGAAATATTTATTGAAATGCACAATGAAAGCACCCAGAATTGATAATGAAATATTCAATGAAAGTGCACAGCATTAATTATGAAAGAGGCAATGAATACACCTGACCTAGGGAATGAGATATTTATTGAAATTGCACAACATTAATTATGAAGAGTACAATGAAAGCATCCAATATTCCTAATGAAATATTCAATGAAAGCGCACACCATTAAATATGAAAGAGGCAATGAATACACCTGACCTAGGGAATGAGATATTTATTGAAATTGCACTGCATTAATTATGAAAAGTACAATGAAAGCATCCAATATTCCTAATGAAATATTCAATGAAAGCGCACACTATTAAATATGAAAGAGGCAATGAATACACCTGACCTAGGGAATGAGATATTTATTGAAATTGCACAACATTAATTATGAAAAGTACAATGAAAGCATCCAATATTCCTAATGAAATATTCAATGAAAGCGCACACCATTAGATATGATAGAGGCAATGAATACACCTAACATAGTGAATGAAATATTTATTGAAATCACACAGGATTAATTATGAAAAAAGCAATGAAAGCGCCCAAAATTCCTAATGAAATATTCAATGAAAGTGCACACCATTAATTATGAAAAAGNGCAATGAATACACCTAACCCAGTGAATGAAATACCTATGAAAGCACACAGGTTTAATTATGAAAAGCACTCTGTGGCCTTGCCTATATCTTATGAGAAGAACATACCCTTTATGAGAAAGAAAGACACAGGACACACCTATGAAAGGCCTTTCATAAAACTTGTGGACTTATACACACAGCTCTACAGGCAAGTGCCTTAGTTTTATGATAAA